CTCCTCTCCACATACCAGACTTAAAACACTCAGGAGAGTAACTGTACTTTCTCTCCTATCAGGGTCCGTATGTTTCTTACCTATTTGATTGTTTGGACCCAGATCAGCTCCTATGTTCTGTTTGATGTTGCTTACCACGTACCTCTCACTTTCAGGGTTCTTGCCATTTGTGTGCCCCTACCCTGGCATATCTCTTTTTCCAAGGACCTTTCTTTTTCTACCTTTACTTGATGGATCAGTTGACTCTTTTGTTGGCATGTGGATGCTTGCAGCCTGTTTCACATTTCTTCTCATTCAATTCAAATTGCACTTTTCTCATTCCTTTGCATCTCATCTTTGCTGGCCCTGGAATGAGATCCTCCAGACAGGTATGTTAATGACTCTCCATACATTTTTCTTTTCTTACCTACACCAACTAGCTATTTTGTTTGCTGGTGGATTATGGCTTCCACCAGTCACCATTCTTCAATCACCTCACCATCTTTGAGAGAATATGTACAATTTCTTTTATAGAGCCTCTTTTTAATTTCATAGGATCCTGTCAGGTGGCTGGTGTTGCTTCCCAGGGTACACTTACCCTAAATCTTCATCGAACAAGGATAATGGAAAGCACTCATACCATCCACCACCCTGGTTCTACCAGTACCCACTGCTGAAGACATTGTTCTGCAAGACCACTTGAGTTATCTTTGTGGTATATATATATATATATATTCAGTTGTCCAATCCAGACCTTACTTATTCCAAGGACTATCATGGAAAAAGCCAACATCAAGGTGGGTTTCTGCCTATTTTTTGGCTTGCACTTGCTGGCTTTTAAAAATAGGGTTTCTCAGTTAACTACTGCACTGTCTCCATAAAAGACCTTTCCAGCTGGAGATCCAGTGGGGATCTGAGCACCTCTATGGGTATGGGGTGGTGGACCATGGAGTATCCTTACCGACTGGGCTTAGCACAGTATGGTGAAAAGTGGAGTGGTGATGACACTGTCAGTGTAATACATGTCACTCCTCAAAAAACATAACACTTCTTTTGTGCCTTCTTCCTGCAGTCAGAGACTGTTCAATAGTGTTGAGGTGAGCCCATTATGTACAGACATGATACATAACTAATGTGCTCTCCTGCAGCTAGTCTGTTCAGTAGAGTTGAGGTGAACACACAGTGTACAAGAACATAATACATAGCTAATGTCAGAGTCTGTTCATAAGAGTTGAGGTGAGCACACAAGGTACTGTCAGAATGTACTCCTACCACACTACATGTTGGCTATCCAACCCCTTGTGTGCTTGAACAGTCATGTTTTCATTTTGTCTGTCCCTTTGACACGAGACTGTTTTTCCTCTTTCCTCCCACACTTTCTGGTCAAGGTGAGGTGCAGTTTCCCACAGTTGTGCCCATATAGAGCCCTTACCATCAGGTGTCACACTCCATGGGCTTCCCTTCAGATGAAAGGAGTTCATCTCGGTAAAATGTTGCACCAGCCCCTACACCACTTCAATGTTGGATTCTAGCTAATTTTTGTGAGAGGTGAGTTATTGTCTCAGAAGTTTACATTTTCCTTACCTGAAAATGTATTTCTGATAGATATTCACCTCTTAACGTACTCCCACCTGTCTTTCCTACTTCCAGTGCACTTTCTTTTGTCTTGCCTCGGCAAAAAATGAGGTTATCACAAGTTCATAGGGAGAGTTATTGCACATGGAGGTTTTGTTATCCTCCTATTGGTACAGGGCTTTTTTCACATGATGACATCATCATGCACCATTGCAGCTAACATTAAATTACATGAAATTAGGTGGCACTTGCATCAAGGCTAGTGCCATGCAAAGCTTGTAAGCAGACATGCAAAGTAGATAGCTAACTTGTGTGAAAAGATGAGTATTTATTGGAAATACATTTTCAGGTAAGGAAAATGTAAACATTAAAAGCAAACTGATGGGAAAAAGTTAACAGTTAAAACTGTGAATAAAAGTAAGTTGAAAACCTTGCATGAATTATGTACTCAGAGAAGAAGAAGAAAAAACTATTCATTTATTTCATATTTTTTTAACTTTTCATTTTACTCTATACATATGATTTCACTATAGTTAGTGTTAGGGTAGAGAAAATAAGATGCAAAATATAATGTTTTACCAAAACAGTTATGATATTCATTTAGAAGGTTCTGTAAGATGAAAATATTTTTAATCTTAATAGGAAAATCATCTTTCATGCTGAGTCAGTGAAGGCATCAGAAATTCACAGAGAAATCTTTGGTAGAAGTTCTTTATTTGAAAAAAAATCTGATTTTTTGAGTACAACAGATTTATATTGTTTACTAAAAGCTTGTCAAATTTTGTGAAGATGAACTATATTTGATAGTTCCAAGATGAGTCAAATTGACTAACTTCATATAAATTGCAATGGACTCGTATATTTTACATGACCTTATAACCACCACATAACCATTGTGGTATACTTACTTGGATTCTGAAAATATTTAATGTATCTTTACAAAATTTAGCAAGCTCTCAGTAAACATTAAAAATATTTTTTAGACAAAATTTTCAATTAAGATTTTTTTACTAAAACCTTGTCCTTAATTTATGGTGTCAGAGTGTTGACTGCTCTGAATGCAAAGGGATTTTCATGTTAAGATTAAAAATACTTTTCTTCATCTGACAATTTTCAAATTTCATTTGTGTAATCCCTAAAATCTCCTAAGTATATATCAAATGTTTTTTTTATATTTTTATTCAGAAAAACTTTATATTTTATCTGTTATTTTCTATACTATAACTCTACATAGTTGGTTGCTTTGACTGACCTAGTAATCACCATAAAAAAAATTGGAAAGTAATTTTTTCTCTCTTTCTGGAATAACTGCAAGTTGTAACAGGACACCACAGTTGTTTATCTTAAATAGTTTAAACCTTGTAACAGTATACATCTATTTATACTTAACTTTATTGTTTTATTACCTTTTGAACCATGTCTAACAAATAATTCTGCCACATAAGCTGTAATCCACTCAGTGAATGTGTAGCTCATGTTATCCTATCAATTTACATAATGCATGAGCTACTCGAGAGCATACTTCATGATGAATGATTATTATTATTTCTTATTACCTAATCTAACCTAATAAGTTTCTGATTTTCACATTTTAATTACTTTTATAATAATAAATAAAGAAAACACATGAAAACAAGAAATATAATATTTACTTGGACCTCTGTTTTTTGCTGTCAACTGTCAGTGAAACTTAAGCCTACTTTTTTACACTAATGGTACTACCACACTAAATATTTTTTTATTTAATGAAATACTGGACCTGGAAACATAGGTAATAACATGTAAAAAGCAAACAATATTCTCTAACTATCATAATTTTTCTGGCTTTCTAACTTTGGTATAAAAGCCATTAAAAATTAGCTAAGCTTGTCAATGTTTTTCCTGTGGGAATAAAGTTTGAACTGGAAGCAAAATAGACAATTCTTTGTACAGAAAACAGCATTTGATAGATTAAAACTTTGGAGTATGAAACATTAGAGAAAACTATTGGCAATTTGTTTCATGAAAGAGAGGATGTGACAGGTGGGTGTGGCTAATGGGTCTGATTTTCTAGTTAATAGCTCCCTAAACAAATAAGATTGAAGGCAATAAAATTGCTTTACCTGAATAATATCTATACTATAATAAGTAATTTATGTTAAGTTCCATACTTACATAGAGGGGTGGTAAATATATTAGAGAAGAGAAAAGATCTAGAGAGTGAATGTCACAGTTCTCACAATAGGGATGTTATTTTTTTTTATTTCCTTATACAATTAAAAACGTAAAACCTAAATAATATTAAAATTTGATTTATCAGCCATGTTTTGATGCCAAGTTTATTCATATACATTGATAATAAAGTAATTTGAAATTTTGAATGTCGCTCTGTAAAAGGTTGTGACATGCACATTTTGACTTACTCATTATGAAAGGGTTAACACGTTAAAAGAAAAAAGTCAGCTTGAGTATAGTTAATTTGGTGTTCTTCTAAGCAAAAAATAAATAAAACTTTAAGAGAGCTGTAAAAGAGTGTACAAAGACATAAAAATCAGTAATTAAAATGTAAAACAAAGTTAAGCATTTTAAAGTATTTCTTAAAACAAATATCACACATAGAAATAAGATATTTGATTTACAGAAGCTACCAGAGCTCACAAAAAAACATAATTTTGGGTATTTGGTACAAAAATACTTTTCTACAAGTCCCTCACATTAAAAAACAAAATGGTGAACTTGCCCATTTTTAGTAATTATTGAAGAGTCAGTATTCTACAAAAAAGCATAATTTTAAGTTTTTTTTATTTGAAAATTATTCTGCCATATTTTGGCCAATTTACATGGTACAAAGATACTTTTTTACAAGTCTCAGACAGAGATATAGACAGTATTGGAATTTTTGTCTTTGGCTCAATGTATCAGTGAGGAAAGCACAATTTGGGGTTTTTGTGAACTATTTATGTGCATGTCAACCAACTTACAAGAGATTTGGTACAAAGATGCCTTCCTGCAGGTCCCAAACAGTGATGTAGACAGTTTTAGATTTTTCCGTGTTTTTCATGATGTTTCTGGTGTCAAAATTGGCCATTGTTGGGACTGTGTGATGAAGATATGTTGCATTCACCCATGAATGTTGGCCTCTTTAATTGTAAAATATATTTTTTATTAAAGACAAGATTAATACTGATTTATAGTTTATATGATCAAATTTTCAATAAAACATTTGTAGGATTAAACTGTAATGAATCCTTGTAGAGTTGCTCTATAAGATTTTTACATTAAATGTCAGTTGCATTGAAAATTTTTTGTAGAATAAATCTCCTATTTAGATATTCTGAGTTATTTCTTCTAAAAATCGAACTAGATTTGAAGTACTGAATTTTATGTGTTGAAACCTTGTATATATATATATATATATACATACACATCTTTCATGTTATAAAAACTTATGATCTCTTTTTATCCAGTTCTATGATTTGGAAGAGCTATTTCGAACTGGTGGTCAAGTACCAGACACAAATTACATATTTTTGGTGAGTGTTTGTAAACTTTTGACTTCTGTGAAGCAGTGGCTTTCGGCTTGCTTTGTACTTTTTATTTTTCTGTGTAAAAACATTTGTAGATTTTAAGTCATCATCTGTACACATTGTCATTTGAAGAAAGTGCTTGGAATATTTTTGTTGAATTAATAACATCACTTCTCTGTTGGGAAACTTGTTAATGTGAAATTAAATTTCAGGAAACTTGTTACCAAATAATTTTCTTTTTCTAGCTAATGTGCTACTAAGAGATACAATAATATGGTTCTAAATTTTCAAATCAGGATAATGTTGTAGCTTTTTTTGTATATGGATGGTGTTTCTGAAAGTCTTAAGTAGGGTCACGGACACTATTACTACCCATTTGGAAGACTTGCTGTCTATGGTCTCCATTCACTCTTACCTACGTAGAAATACTGACAGAATTACACCTATGTAAAGGAATGTTCAATTAACTTTCAGGAATATAGAACGGTAAACCTACAATGCAGTTACTATTTTATATTTCTTATTTATTTGTATGGAATTGTAAAAAAAGAAAATGCATACTTATAACTTATTATCAACACTTTAATGTCGCGACAAAGAAATTGATGGATTTGCTACACATTTTTTTGTGATACTTGTTTTTGTGAAAACACCAGTAAAAAAAAAATGCTCATTATTATTCTAATATTGCTCATGTATTTGACCTATTTAGCCAGTTAGTTCTGTGTATATTATTACCCATAGTTTTCTCTAATAAAATCATCAGCTGTCTAAAATGCACTAGTTTAGGTCTCTAACAAGGTAATTTTGCTTCTATTATATATCATGTACTTTTGTAAGTCTCTTTAACCTATTAATCTTTCTCCCACTGTATAATTCCTGTCATTTTAAATCTGTTTAATAAATTAAACTACTTTGTGGCCATTTTGCTACCGACACCATTTTTAAATTCCATTCTGTATATGAAACCGAGTTACATTCTAAACTTAATTAAACCACTTTACTATCAATATATGTCAATGAAATTAACATTATAATGTATGTTATAATTTGAACTTTTATGTTATTTTAGTTTTAATTTCTTTGTTTCAAAGGAAACATTTAGAAAAAATACTTAACTGCAGATTTCATGTTGTGATCCATATGCTATGAAAAGTTTCAGCAGGGTTCACTCTTAACCACAATGTAGATAAGTGTCTAGATGACAATGTAGATCTATGTACCTTTTTTACATGTAAGATACAAAGTCTTACAACTATATTCATTGTGAAAAGAAATAAATTTTCCAACTCTTGATGGTTGCCATGCCCACCTTCTATACTTTGCCTTGAGATCTACAACATATATGTAGTTAGTAGACACAACTGTATATAGTCATTAAAAAGAGCTCAGTTTATACTATACTCTACCAACAGTTAGTTTGAAGTTGGTGTGAAGTTTTCCTCATGGTGTACATGTAACTGCTGATAGTATTGTTGTCTGCTTCATCGAGTATAGCATTTATGATAGTTTCTTACCTATGTATGCTATAGTTAGAGAGACAGTTAAATTGTATTTAGGTCTTACTTTTATATTTTACTTAATTATGTAATATTTGTGTTTTAAAAATCATATTTGAAAGGTTTAATGATTTTTATAAGTTTGTTTGTTTGTTTGTAGTGAAGAGCAAACCTACACAAAGGGTTATCTTTGTCTGCTCACCACAGGTATTGAAACCTGGTTTCTAAAATTTTAAGTTTGCAGACATACTGCTGTGTCATTTGAGGGCTCTTATAAGTTTAATTTGTTGTTTCCTGGATTGTGAAAGTGTATAAACAAGATGGCATCATTTGCTTGTGCAAAGCATTAGTGAAACGAGTCTCTGAATGGGAATCTCCATATAACAATAATAAAGCTCCGTGGACACCAGTTAACATATTGGCATAAAATATCAAAAAATCAAGGAATTTGAAAGGAAAATTAAAAATAAACTAAGTGAAAAGATAAAGATATGAAATTATGCATATTTAAAAAAAGCTTTCTAAAGACTTATACGAAGAGCTAAAAGGTATGTACATTATTCCATTTCTTAATTTTAAACATTTCATTGCACTATACGTTAGTGATATAATAGAGAAAATGGAAAATAAGATATAAACATTTACCTTAAAAACTTTTGATACTCATTTATGAGGTTTTAGAGATTATGCAAATAAAAATGTGAAAATGTAAGATAAAAAACAGTATTTTTATACTTCATATAAAAATCACCTTGCAGGTGAACTATTTAGTCTGAATGCAAATAACTACATTAAATAATGATTTTTTTATTAGTAGAAGTAGTAGAAAAAATCAAATTTCAAACAATTTCATCCACTAGTTTTATTTTTGGAATGAAATATAATAATAGCGATGTTAGGTTGTTAAAGTTTGGGGATGCGGTAGCAAAAGGATTAATAAAGTAAACCACTCTATAGCTATATGTATTAAGTCATTAAACCAAATAACTATTTTTAAGTTTAATTTGCTTTATTGTAATGTTTTTGAACCATCTAACATTGGTTTCTGTGTAGAATCATCCCTATTTTTGTAACTTGGCCAGTGATCATTATTAATTTGTCACGTTTGTATTTCGTATTATTGTACCTTTATTTTGTGTTATTTAGGGTGATTTTGTAGACAGAGGATATTACAGTTTAGAAACATTTACACGTCTTCTTACTCTGAAAGCAAAGTAAGTAATTATTTTAATATAAGAATGTATTTCTGACAATAAGTCTGTTGATATTGAATTCTTATTATTTTATATGAACATAAAATATGCTAAATCAGAATTATTTAGATATTGTTGTGGTTTTTGTTTGTGTGTATGATTAATTGTTAACTACATGGATTAGGTCATTGAATTTTACCATTTCTGCTTTTTCACATTAGATCTTTAAATACAGGGGTTTTCAAACTTTCTGGGCCCCCTTTGTAAATATTTTGGGCCTTGACAACCCCCTCACCACCACACACACACACACAGATTGATAGCAAGTTTCTTTATATACTGTTAAATGGCCATTTTCACACTATTTTTATGATCTTGCAACCCCCTTACAATAGCTTTGTGACCTCCTCTTTGGGTCAGGACCCCCCAGTTTGGGAAATATTGTTTTAATATGTAGTGAAAATAATAGTTATTTGATATTTACAGTCATGTGCTAAATGGAAATAAAACAATTTTTTTCATTGGTTAAATTATTATATGTTTACATTTTTATCAAATTGTTACAATGTGATGAATTACATGTAATGGCTGAGGTGATTGTTCAATGCTGTTGAATCTTTACACCATCCAAATTTATTCAACCCTAATGTGAAGGTTAAAATTGAAGATACAGTCACTTTAGACTGTATGCACCCAGGAGAAACTGTGCATGTGATTCATCAGATAAATATTATGTTTTATGTTCATAACTTGTTTATAAAAATATAGGCATGAAGTGAGGAATACTTAGACTGTATGAATATTAAAGAAAATTGTAGATATGCAAGTTTCATTAATTTGGTAACATGAATAAATAAAACATGCATATGTTTTATATACTTTGTAAAAGTTTAAAACAATTTTTGTATATGTGCATAGCTAATTTAATTTTGTTTTGTCCTTCACAGATGGCCAGACAGGATTACACTGTTAAGAGGGAATCATGAAAGTCGGCAAATCACTCAAGTGTATGGCTTTTATGGCAAGTCTAATACAATTTTGAATATATGGTTAATAACACAGTTTGAATATGTTATTTTTATGTCATACTATTTCACAGAACTCTTTAAGAAAGATGAATTTTATGTTTCAAAGAGTTAGAATTTTGCTTACCACCCATGCCAGAGAAAATGCACTAAACTTTCATATTTAGGGAATTGACAAGGCAGTTTTTTTCATGCAGTGGTGTTGGGCATGAAATCAGATATAGTAAGAGTTTGTTTTAAAGTCAGCTGATTTCTGTATGGTTCTAATGGGAAACCAAACTCTTCCCTATGGTTCTGTTTTTGTGTCAGTAAATTGTGGAAACCAATTCAATTAACAGTTTCAATTATAAATGTCTATACTTCACAAGAGGTGAAATACCCAGGAAAACTGTCTGATTTAGCAAGACTCTGTTACCTTTTTATCCTACTTTATCTCTGTTGATCTTTACCATTATCTTGGCATAAACTACTAGAATGGAAGACATTTGCCATGAGAGTTTAGTGCATTTGTGTGAGTATTATAATAATAATTCTGTTTTAGAAATTAGTCTAATGCTTTTCTTATCATTGTAACCAATTTGTATTATTTTCACAGGTTATAAAAGTTT